CAAACTTATACAGATGAAATCAAAGTAATAAGAAATCAAATATCGGTGGGAAAGAAAAGTAGGTGATTTTTAAGATTTCGTTTAAAGCTAATTATTGATGTTAAACATTTTAGGTGGAGCGGGAGATTATTCCAAGTTGTTATACATTTATATTTCACACTCATTTGGGCTACGGACGTTCTAATCTAGTTTATAAGCTATTTACATTTCTCGACTCAAGTACAACAGGTTTCAAGAGTCTAGATGCTGGAGACAGATTTGAATATATCTTTACATGTAATTATAATAATAAGTAAATATATAAAAGACTGCTATTTGTTACTAGAAAAAATACAGAAACTCGTCATTAGCCCCACTCGATTGTGACACTACTAGTGTATCAAAGACTTGTGCAAGCCATAAGTTAGGTTTTATTCTACATTTAGTTCTTTTAAATTTTTTAAATTTTTTTTTCATTAGGTCTTATTCAACACATTTATTTTATTATTTGATATTTTTGCTTGCACTTTGCCATACATTGTACCATATGCAATTGTGGTGCAATGAAAGTTCTTCTTATATGAAGTAATAGCGAGGGCCGGGGTTGTGTAACATACTCTCCAAGCAGAGGTAGGTTTTGGGGTATTTTTAGCGTGTTTTTAGGCTTTTTTTATCCGGGTTTCTCTTTTGCGCTGGAATTTTTTTTCACCCAACGCTAGGGTTTGGTGGGGAAATAAATCCAGTGCAAAAGAGAAACCCGGATAAAAAAAGCCTAAAAACACGCTAAAAATACCCCACCTCAAACCCTACCTCTGCTTGGAGAGTAGTGTAACACAGGAAAAGCTATCAAACAATCGCACTCTCAAGAGGGTCAACAGTGTCAGGATAAGTATGACACAGTCAACACACACAAGTATTTCAAACTCCTCTACAATAGACAGACTTGCAAACAGTAGGTAGCACAGGTCAAGGAGTATTTAACCTCCTTGCACAGGTTAACAACACTAGCAAACAGTAAGTAAACTAATGTTATAAGTTATAGACCACACCAATCCTATTTGCCGGTTGTAAGATTTTGAATTTCTGAATCATGGTGTAGACAATCCATCTTAGCCTTCTCGAGTTGTCTCACACACACCCACACACACCCACGCGCGCGTACACACACACACACACACACACACACACACACACACACACACACACACACACACACACACACACACACACACACACACACACACACACACACACACACACACACACACACACCGGTGCAAATTTAGGCCGAAGCTTGGAGCCTACTACTGGATGCCCAACTCGTTTCGGGCCGCTAGCAATTTCCTTTGGCAGCCAAGAGCCCTTCGCCCGCCGGTCTAAATATCTGCTACGGGGAGACTGGCCCGGGGGAGTTTGGCTGGCCCTAGTAGTTCTATTGCCGGACAAACCCCTCGGCCTCAACTCCCCCGTAGCGGCAATTTTAGATAGGCGGGCGAAGGGCTCTTGGCTGCTGAAGGAAAACGGCTAACGGCCCGATACTATGTAACAGTGGGGGGTTTATAGTGTGCGTTGTGTTTTGTACATGCATAGGTACATATATTCACAATATGTGCATAAGCATACTTTGGTGGACAACCACAAAGCGTCTTAACGGTAAGGTGTTAATTGTTTGAACATTTGTTTTTTTCATGAGAAAATCTTCTGAAGCTCTGTCGTTATAAACAAGGAGCTTTCACGAAAGCTCCTTGTTTATAGCGACAAAGCTTTCATGAAAGCTCCTTGCTATAAAGGATCCGGAGGTCCCGACAACGCTCTACGCTCTCCATTACGCTTTACGATAAATTCCAAGTGGCTACAACGCAATACGTAGAATTAAAACGGCAAAAACGCTCTACGCAAAATGCATGCGCCAATTACGCTCTACGTTGAATTAGAGCGGTCCGTCTACGCTCTACGTAGAATTAAAACAACTGATTACGCTCTACGGAAAAGGGCATGCGGGCCCCCATTTAAGCTGTTTATTTAGTTAATTCGTTGTTAATTAACAGTTTAATTGCTTGTTTTCAATTAACGGTTTAATTGCTTACACTTCAAGTACTCACCTATCTGACTACACAACGCTTCAGGCAGCCCTTCCATTGGTCAGGTCCTTAAAAGAGGAGGACCAATCAGCTAGCCCCTAAGAACGAGAGTTGTGTAACTCAGACGAGTTGACATATGTGGGATGTTAGATAACTGTCCATTCATGCTTGACCTGCCCATATTTGCATATTAAAGTAACGGCTGTTCTCGACAAAACGAAGGAATCTTGCGGGCAACGTGGCTGGATCGGACATTGTTCCCCTTACTCCTCTTTGTGGTCTTCAAGTTCCAAGGTAAAGATGATCACTGTTTTCTATAAGCTTTCGGGAAAGAACTGTCTACGCAGCATCTTGCTCAAATAATTGATTGACTCTTTCTATGGAGTTTAGAAGGACTCTATGCTCTTTCCGATTCCTCCCTATCCCCCGTTTAGCTCTTGACGTTTTTTTGTTGTTGCTGGATTTGGTTGTTGTATGACTGATCGGATATTGTGGTGTGTTACCGCCTGTAATGGTACAGTGAAAACGAAGCTATGTCTCCACCACATGTGTCACAACGCCGACTGAAAAATTGTAATGATGTAGAGCCGGAAAGGGGACAATAGCGACAACAACCGTCGCCATGTAGGTCACTCGTGGGTTATGCTCCCCAGGCATATTCTTCGTAATAAAGGGGTATATAACAGGCGAATCAGACCCTATTTTTGCCGAATTCTACTTTGTAAAAAAAATACCTTTATACTTAGTAGAATTCGGCAAAAAAAGGGTCTGACTGACCAGGGGAGTGGATCAACCGTTAGGGTTTTATAACTAAGTGGGTACTCAAAATGAACTCAATTGTGGCGCCCTCCCCTACTCTCAAAGCAGAGGTAGGGTTTGGGGGGTATTTTCAGCGTGTTTTGGGGCTTTTTTTTCTCGGGGTCTCTCTTTTGCACTGAATTTTTTTCCCCACCAAACCCAACTGTTGGGTAAAAAAAAATTACAGTGCAAAAGAGAAACCCTAATTAAAAAAAAGCCTAAAAACACGCCAAAAATAACCCCAAGCCCAAACCTCTGCTTGGAGAGTGGCTCTCCCCCGGATATTGTTCTCCCTATTGTGCTAAGTTTTTGAACCCGCGTTGTTAATTAGTAAATTACTGTCTGGTGGAGATACGGCGTGCTAGTAAGAGACAATGTTATCTTTATATCGCTCATGTGGATAATTTGTTTACCCTATTTCTGTCAAATTCTATTATCCGTGGAGGCATTCAGTGTAGTTTTTAAGGCTTCACGGAAACCCGATTTTTCAAAGCCAATATTCTACTTCTAGCCATTATCTACATACTGAGTTGAAACCACGCTATCCCGATGTATATTGACCCCCATGGAGCAAAAATTCCCAAAATTCTGACGGAAAATATGATCCTGGATCTGATGATCGATTTAGGGTACCACCCAGAAAATAATCCCAGGGCTTGTTTCTGCAGTTTTGAATGCCAAAAGTGTGAAATGCCTATTTAAATGTGTTAATGCAAAGTAGTATGTGTGAATATCACAAAGATTGCCTTATTCAGAATATTTTAACTCCCTGGGAAGGCCGGAAAACCGGAAAATGCAGCTGTCACCGTGAAATTCGTATGATAATGGGGACTAAAATTTTAATTTTCGACTTGATGCTGGGTCACTCTACTCTCCAAGCAGACGTTGGTGGGGGAAGATCGTCACCGTTTTATATAAACGAGGCATATATAAAACGGTGACGATCTTCCCCCACCAACCTCTGCTTGGAGTGTAGCAAATTCTACGATGCGTAACAGGTACTTTGTGCTTGCACTGGTGAACTCAAAACACCTAGCGGTTATAGGATAAAGTGCAACTTCTTATTTTCATACAACATTCTTCACGTTACTAAGTACTTAACAAGCGATGCCCGCTTACCTACAGCACAACCGATTGTGTCATGGGCTTTACTGAAAATTGCATAGATTATAGCAAACAAAGGGGCTCACAATTTACAAATGACCTGTGTACAATACATGAAAAACAGCGAATCCACGTCATGCTTCATACTAGTATATGTCACTACAAAAGCGGCATTAAGCCATTTTACAGATTAACGTTAAATCCTACCCTTTCACTTAAGCAAATCCATAGAAGACAAGAAGATAAGGCTATCTTAACCCTTGTCCTGCGGGACCCATATACAGATATAAAAATATATATATTGTTTGACCTTTGCCAACAAGATGATTATCAGAGATATTTGCAACTTTTCCTTTTGAAAAAAGAGGGCACCCATTCCACATGTCAGAGTAAAATAAAATCATGTCCCAACAGTTTTCTTGTCCCAACTTTGGCTCCTGATAACATAGACACGCGTTGACTGAACTGAAAGAAATGCGTTTAGCCATGATACCGTTGGCCTTATTGTAAAATTAACAGGAGAAAACATGTTTCTAATATAAAGATATTCAATTTAGACCAGGATATAGCAGTTGTTTTTGACGTATTGGACGTTCACTGTGGTAGCTGTATGGCCATGTTGATTTGATTATATGGATGACATCCTCCGGGAGCCCCAAAACTGATGCGCGCGTGCGAATAAAAAAAAAAAGTTTTGCAAAAAAAAAAGTTCTTTTCATTATGAAATCTACGTGGTCATGATGGTTGAGCAAATGGCACAGAATATGGTTCGGCGAAAAATCTAGTCTTCAAGTTCATTTCTTTACAATTTCGTCTTTTTTCGTTTGATTTTGGCATTCTACGACATTGGTATAGTTTTTATTAATTTTTTTGTAACTTATGGTATATTTTTGCTCATTTTGCAACTGTTTTGTACGATTTACAGTATGGTTGAAAACTTTTTTTTTGTGGAAACGGCCGAAAATTCATGCGCGCGCGGATGTCATCCATATAATCAAATCAACATGGCCTATACGTTGCTCTGCTATCATACCGCGCCATCTTTGCCCTATTTAATTCAGACGGTAGGTCGCATCAAAGATTATATTTCGACACTTTCTTGAGACTCTGTAGGAGTTGTTTCACCGTAACCACAGACGCAGAAGCAGTATGTAGCTGTTAACATGCCTAACTGTATATTTTATGACGTAAAAGTTCCCGTAAAAAGTTTTCTGTCGCGTCACGACTCGGCTTGTTTTTGTCGTGTCATGGCACCCCGTGTAAAAAATAATTCATGCAAGCGAAAAATGGCGGCATTGTTTTGAATTTCTAAGCCGTTGTGGTTGACTGTGCTCTTGTTACTCTATGGATGAGAAAGTCATCTGTGTATTTGTTAATTAAGTTGAACTCTTGTATAGAAACATATTCATTTCAATGTCACAGTACAGTTACAATGCTCTTTTTAACAACTGTGTGATATGCAAACAGGTCTAGGCTTTTTTTGGTCTTTTTTAGGGGTCGGCCTAAATACCACAACCGACCGCAACCGACCGCGTAATGGGTTAATATGCAGTATACATGGGCTAACTAACTTTTCCAACGCTCTGGATACATGGTCTATGCTTGTATGAATTGAAAAAAACACTGTAACTCTGACGTATTTACCAGTTTTTACAAGTTATTCCTCTGGTTTGACATTCCGCGGAGCGCGCGCGTTCCGCCTTGAGGTCAATGGAGGTCAAGTCGGTAGGCGTACGTGCTTAGCAGCTTGGATGTCAGGCTGGAAAACACTCTGTATATAGCTATTATGAGTTGATTATGGTGGTATTGGTGCTTTACTATGATTTATAAACCGTTCTGTTGCCTGTGGAGCTCTATAAACCAGAGGAATAACTTGTAAAAACTGGTAAGTACGTCAGAGTTACAGTGTTTTTTCAATTCATACAAGCATTGACAATGTATCCAGAGCGTTGGAAAAGTTAGTTAGCCCATGTATACTGCATATTAACCCATTACGCGGTCGGTTGCGGTCAGTTGTGGTACGTATTTAGGCATACCGCTTTTTTAGGCAACAATGCTATGTAACACCTAGAAACAGCGATTGACATAACCTTAGGAACATCATGGATCTATTGGCTAAACCAACATCATTGATGTCCCACTATAAACATAGTTATAACTAGAAAGGCCAATATTTGCTTTGGAGCAAATACAGCGATGGGTTCACCACATTTTACCACATGGCAGGGAAAAAATGAGAAACACAAGGGAAAACAATGATTTACATTGATATAACTATAATACGAAGTAACATACAACTAAAACAACAGTTGGATAGCTATTCCCTACTTTATTGGTTAGGATTTTTAATTGCATAATGCAAACTGTTGATTTTCAAAATAAAATAAAAAACGTTCATGCCCCGCATTCCAATGCTGGAGCAGAAAGCTTGAAATACCTACCAAAACACTTGAATAAAGACATACTGTCAGTATGGAAATGCTCTGTGCAGGTGTTAATCAAGTTAAATCCCAACAGCCAATCAGCAAGAAATGCTCTGTGCAGGTGGAAATGCTCTGTGCGGGTGTTAATCAACTTAAAATCCCAACAGCCAATCAGCAAGAAGTATAGAGAAAAGCTGCATGCCTATTGGTTGATGCCCTGCATTCCATTGTGATGACTCATGCCCAGACGTGGTAAACACGGCACACTAACACAGTAATACATTTGCTATAACACAGCCAAAAACTCAAATAAAACCATTCTAAAAGCCTGTATCACAAAAATTTAAAAACGCCTAGGGGTATTTGCCCACTGTACCTCCATACCAAATTTCAGGACCTTAGGCCCTAAAATGAAGAAGCTGAATCCATTTAAAGATATGGCAGGAGGAGGAGGAGAAGGAGGAGAAGGAGGAGAAGAAACATCAGAAAAAGCAATATGGGTTCACCACCACTTCGTGGTGTGGTGAACCCATAATTATACAGTAAATGTACCAGTCTGTTAAACAATACTGTGTATTAAAAAGTACAAACTAAAGTAGATTTTGTTGCTAAGAGGATGATGTTAGAGCAAATTCAATGTTGACTTTAAACAACAGTGTTTATACAATGTAGGTTGGAAATCACTAAAGATATAATCTACATGTTAATTCATATCTTTAGTGATTACGAAAGTATACACACCCAACATATGCATATGGGTGTAGACAAAAACCATTAAGTTTGCTTGTGCAATCCAGTCATATACTATAATATATAGTTATAGCCTCATCATCATCAACATAATCTTTGTTTCATTGTTTGGCACCATCGCATCAATGCCTACAAGTATATAGTATAATCTGTAGACTGATAATTTCAGCAAGTAAATTTTGTGGATGACATCCTCTGCAGAATCCAAATCTATTGCGATTATAACAAATATAAGGGGAAAAAAAACAAGACGGGCCAAAAAAGCAAGATTCCTATATTTTTAAATTTTGACAATCATCATAAACCTTGTTAACCAACAAATAATGTATATTGTGCCAAGTTTACTGGCAACTGGCAATCTATTTGTTACTGAAACAACTTTAAAAAATAAAAGCTTTAATCATTGTACGTATACGCATGTTTTCGATTTCGTGAGGACATCACATATGAAAGGAATTAAAAAAAAAAAGATTCACTGCATCAAAGTACCTGTAAAGGCAATTAAACAATAAATCAGTCCTGTCTATAGATCTCCTCTCTTCAGCTCTATCCACGTTCTGGGATGGCAATAGACATTTTTTTCACATTTTCGGCATGTTGACCACTGTCAAAGGGCAATAAATTTTTTTCCCCCAAAATCAGGTGAAAATTAATGTGCGCGCTGATGTCATACATAAAAATGACTTGCTATGGCCTTAATAAGAATGCTCAATGTATTCACAATTTACACACTCAGGTTGAATGATATGCTTCAATCTGTTATCATGAAAGTACATCTGTGTTGGTAGTAATTATAGTAAAACACTGAACGTCATTCCAACACACAGTTTACAGAGAGATCTAATTTTCAGTGACCACTGTCGCCTTCATCAGGATAATTAATGACCAATCACTGTCGCTGAAAATGTGATCTCTCTGTAAACTGTGTGTTGGAATAAAGTTCAGCGTTTTACTATGAAATGCTTCTGCTGTGAGTCATGCTACATGTTTAGGTCCCAGTAATCTTCTTGACAAGCTCCTTGAAGTGTTGTGGTCCCCACTTGAATAGCCTGTCAGGGTCCAGGGTGCCGTAGCCGCGGTCTGGTGTGTGGAAACCGCGGCTGGAGCAGGCTTCACGCAGGAGCTCCCGTATCATCGTGTTGGATTTGAGCTGGTCACGCAGGCTTTCCTCACCTGGAGTCTCAGCTAAACATAAAATTGAAAAGCATAAAGCAATATACTATTCTAAATACACTTCAAACTCAAGCTTTACTGTTGTACATGATGCCATACTCACCTGACCTTTGAACTTACATAATGATGTATGAATTGGCACTGATTTCGAAGCTGGCATTCTTTAGATTTCAAGGAATTTTCTTATAATTTTGACGGTTTACAAAGTTTTTAAAGAAGCTTGATCATGTGCTTTAGAACTAGTTGGGTCACTTTAGTACATGTCACAGTTTAATGCTCAGGTGAGTGTACATGTATGTACATGTATGACTGGCTTTATCACAATGCAAGTCATGGCAAATGATGGGAGAACTCTAAACTATCGTATAATGATGGACTGAACTACATGTAGAACACCTGAGAACTTGACTTTTTGGGGTATATCTAGCATACTATAGTATGATTTCCAATCCTAGATTTAAGATGCAGTTTAAAAGTTTAACTTAATAAAATGGCTTACAGACAGATTCTGCATACAGCAAGGTGAAGCCGACTACTGCTGTTGCCATGGCAGCGGCCACTGATGTCCCAGACACGCTGGAGTACTTGTTGATGCTCTTTTCTCCCACCATGAGGAAGTCCATCTCCCGTCCCTTCACACCGAAGCCGGAGTGACTGCCCACACAGATGACGTCACCATGTCTGGCTGGGTAGGAGATCTCTCGTGCCTCTGTGTTGCGAGCTGCTGCTGCAATCACAATCTGTGCACAATACATACAGGACATTCTAAATAAATAAACCAACAAGTGTATAGCATATGGAACCATTTTGAATTGTAATTACTAACACAGGAATTTTTACTTAGCAATACCCTGGGTGTTTTGTGTTGGAAAGTACAGCTCAAACTTGTTTCATAATGTCATGATGATCACTTCTACCAACACAGAATGATCTACTAGTAAACTAATTGTATAACTTGCAAGCTAATGCATAACTATTGTATACATGTACCTCTAACATGATATTGGCCTTGTACATGTATCCAATAAGCACAGTTACTGTTACAGTTACTGTAGTACTTTGATTATTAATTAATGTACATGATTCAATACAATGCATGTAAAGTACTATTTATGGGTTCACCACAAAGTGGTGAAACCATATTGCTTTTTCTCATGATTCTCCTTCTCCTCCTGCCATTTCTTTAAATGGATTCAGCTTCTTCATTTTGGGGCCTAAGGACCTGAAATTTGGTATGGAGGTACAGTAGGCAAATACCCCTAGGCGTTTTTTTAATTTTTGTGATACAGGCTTTTAGAATGGTTTTATTTGAGTTTTATTTGAGTTAGTGTGCAGTGTTACCACATTTGGGCATGAGTCATCACAATGGAATGCAGGGCATCAACTAATAGGCATGCAGCTTTCCTCTATTCTCCTTGCTGATTGGCTGTTGGAATTTAACAGGCTTAACTTAATTAATACCTGCACAGAGCCATTCCATACTGACAGTAGGTCTGTATTCAAGTGTTTTGGTACGTATTTTAAGCTTTCCTGCTCCAGCATTGGAATGCGGGGCATGAACGCTTTTTTTTTCTTGAAAATCAACAGTTTGCATTATGCAATTAAAAATCCTGACCAATAATGAAGGGAATAACTATCCAACTGTTGTAGTCTTAGTTGTATGTTACTTCATACTATAGTTATATCAATGTAAAGCATTGTTTTCCCTTGTGTTTCTCATTCTTTCCCTGCCATGTCGTAAAATGTGGTGAAGCCATTGCTGTATTTGCTCCAAAGCAAATGTCGGCCTTTCTAGTTCAGGATTGTAAAATCATAATTCTATAATACGGTTTTCTCTAGATTTCATTCTTACCTTGCCATTCTTCTGGGCTTCAGTCACGGCCTTATACACCCTGTGGTCAAACTTCTCAAATCCTACTGGGATGAGGATGACGTCGGCTGGATAGGTGCCGTGGTTGGCTGCCCAGTCGACTGCCCTGGCCACCCATGCTGGGTTTGACTTGCCCTGTTCATCCATGACTTTTGCTGTCAGAAGCCGAGTATGTGCAGGTGCAAATGAAGTGGCAATACTTGCAAGTGCTGTTCCTGTTCCGAGTGTGTCCACTGACAGATCCCAGCTCTCCTGGGGTACAAAGCAGGCTTTGTCCATGATGATTTGTGTTACATCTTTGTGGTCTAAGTTGATGCCACTTCCAAGTACTGCTACTGTGACGTGAACGTCTTCCTTCAGGTTACCCGCATGCTTCTTGATTGTAGCACGTAGTGACGCTGCTCCATCTCGAGATGTAGGATTATCGCATGAAATGATATCACAGGCCATGTCTTCTGCACTTACAACCTCCTTCCTGGTCGAATTACATGTACAACCAGGAGGGCATGCTTCAACGGTAACAATGCCACCAGTACCAATAGTATGCTCCTTCCCAACTCGGAAACCTTGTGCTTGTCTCCAGGTACACACAGCAGCAGAGTCACGGTGGTGGATGATGACTTTGACATTCACATCAGAGATGTCTGAGAGATTGCCTTTGAGTTCTTTGATTTGGTAGAAATGCACGGTCAGACTTTGCGCTGCCTTTCGCTTCTGTTGGAGATATTGGAGTATCTCTGTGAGATGCTGCCATTCCAAAGGTTCATTTTCAGTGCCCCCACACCACAAGTGCAAAAGATTGTTGACTTGTCCAGTCTCGTCCAAGACTGCCTTCAAAGCCTCCACTCCCTCCATGTCTTCCAATACAGCATCTGATACACAAGGCAAGATTAGACAGGACACTTTCCCACGTGGTTTGACTTTAGTTTTGACTGTGTTCATTGCTTGAGACAACAAAGTCTTCTTTCCTTCATCAGACTTTGGTGAGATGGGGAACTTAAGGTTGATCATTGACCCATCTTTACTGACAACTTGCTTCTCCCATGGCCCGGAGCTCTGATGTGAATCACATGGTACCTTTTGTCGGCACTCAGGAGAACATGCCTCTACAGTAATACATGTATTGGGAAGCGTGTGCTCCATTTCTGCAGGTTGACCTGTTTGTTCCACCAGGAGTCTTCTGTACTTACACATTTCATTGCCATGATGGATGATTACCATCACATTGGCAATGTGCGGGATTTCGTCTGGCGTTGGTTTGAACTTTATCAACTCCAGCGCATCAACTTCTTCACAGTGAACTGTCAGTTGACTGGTAGAAGCTGATTTCAGAGCACGAAGCGCCTGCAGGATTTTCTTGATGTCTTCTATTGTCAGCTTGGTCTCCGTTCCTTTAAGCCACAGGTCTTCCACACTGTTGACAAGGTCACCTCCAAGCTGGGTCAGAAACTCCGTCAAAGCAGCTGATCCTGTTGTGTCCCCATACATGTAGGCTGCATCTGATGGTGAAGGGAGGCTGAGGCACGAAATCTCTGTAACTTCTGTTTTAATTTTGTTACAGAAGACCTCGAGATCAAGATCTTTGGGCTGATTTGAATGTTCAGGAAGACGTAGAATGACAGACTCCATGGTTGACGCAAACTCAACGTCCTGTAGTAGCTGGTCTGGACGAGTCATGTTGGTTGCCACTTTTCTGAGGTCATAGTTCCTGAGCTTGTAGTCTTCGTCTGAAAAATATTTGTCAGACTGATATGAATTATTATGCCTTATGTATACCATCTTACTAAACCTGCAGAATGCAGGGCTCGAAATTAAAGGTGGTCCAATGGCCACTGACACCTAAAATTTAGGCTGGGAGCTAAAAAGACACTTTGGGACATTTCTGGGACAACAGAAATATAATCAACATCAGAATGTCAGCCCTTCTTTTGTTTATCAGGCACACGTCCCGACTTTTGAGTCCGGAAAAGTCCCTCCGAATTTCCTGTCTACTCTACAATTACAGTGCACCTGGGAGTGAACCAAAATAAAGACGACTTCAAGTTGAAGTCATACAATACTTCCCAGAAAGGAGGTTGGGACAGTTCATCCTCACTTCGGGACAATTGAAATTCATTTTTGGGACACAGTAGTGCTGGAACAACAGGAAGACAAGTTAATTTCAATGCCTGGCATGAGAAGAGATCCATCCACAATTCAAATCTTCTGCTAGTAAGGTAAGCAGTAACATAATTACATTTTGGACGGAAGGCAAATCAAAGTCACAATAATTATTGTAGGACTCAGTAGTTTTAAATAGACTTCACTAAATGCAACTTGGCAGCTTTTAAGCCATACATGTAATTATATACATTGTACATGTCACAATGTAGCTTATTAAAATTACATGTAAGCTACATTGTGACATGTACAATGGCATTTAGTGTAAATGCATGCACAGTATACAATCACACTTCCAAGTGAGAAGTTTAATCAATTTCAGGACTCGAAATAGTAGACTCTGACATAATTACAATGTGTGTACAAACTGTATGTTGGTGCAGGTACAAATGTATTGACTGTCTAATACCATCTATAAAGTACAAAACAAATAATGGCGATGGTTTCAAGACAGTTTTAGAATAATCCATACTAGCTAGTACATGCACATTTTGTACTTCTCAAAGTTGCCTTCTAAAATTTGTCTGTTGCAGGTAATTTTCAATGTTACCTCATGCACCAGTGGAGATATGCAGAATTATTTCAAGCCCAGGATTTAATGACTATTTCTGTACCTGGTTCAGGAGGAGGTGATAGAGGTGTGATGTTCCCCACTATCTGGCGAAAGAAGTCATGTGAGAAGTCAAAAATCCGAAGCAGATCCAAAGAGCCATGACCACGGGACTGGCTGTGATCTCCAGGTTCTGATGCCATCTCTCGCAAAATCTGCTTCATCACCACGTTGTTTGAAATGGCATTGCGGAGGCTTGGTCCACCTGAAAAGGAACAAAACTTACTGTGACATCATACTATTAATCAGATTCTCCTTTTCTGCCTGATGTAAAATATGTGACATTTTGGTTTCTGAATCAAAAAACAACAATGGTAAGTTTTTCCACCTACCTGTACATACCGGTTAACTATTAACGTTATATATATATACATAATTGTTTAAAGAATGTATGAATTACAAATAGCTGGTCTAAGGAATTTAGGGCTCCTAGCATTTGGGGCCATCATAAGATGTCTTTCCCTGTTTTGTTTTGTCCTGTCAGTTAATATTTTTTTCTAAAAAGTCGATAAACAAATCAAATTGATGTGGACTCATATAACATTACATTACACATACCTATTCGCTGGGCATTTGCCAAGATGATTGCCACTAGGCCAGCTACAAATGGAGCAGCAAACGATGTTCCTTCAGCTTCGTCAACAGCATTTGTGACCTCGGGTTTGCCATGGACAGGACAAGCTGAACTTAACTCTCCTGGTCCCAGGATGTCGATTTCTCTTCCCACAGGTGTGAAGTTGGATGCATGGCCAAGACAGTCGTGGCTCCCCACACAGATGACATGACCAAATCGTGCAGGAAACCATATAGCATTGGAGCTCTTATGCCCATCATTACTTGCTGCACAGACTACTATGATGTTGTTGAGTGAAGCCTCTTGGATGCACTTCTCTAAATCTGCATTGTACTTCTCCAACCCCATGGACAAGGAGATTACATCCACCTGTAGATTGTTTCAATTAAAAAAATTAAAGATCACATTCATTGTAAGTTTATTGACCGTTATGTTTATACATTGATTATAAGCAGCTTTATACCACCACAAAGAAAAGATTCTGTGCTACGTGCACCCAAATTAGGAGTTGTGCACCCAATTTTTTTCTGTGGGTGCACCAGTACTAGTGCGGGGTTCTCCCAAGGATTTTTCCACAGCGTAGGGGTCACGTACAGAAGGGCAACTTTCTGATACCCAGAACAGATGCAAACGGGCGAGCAGGGCATGAGTTAGGGCTGAAGTGGGAAAGGAGACTTTGCATATATCCCTGGTCTGTGATGCAGAAAAGGGCTGTGTGCAATGCGGATCTGTTTACAGGACTCCTTAGCTTTACGGATGTTGCAATGCACTTGTGGCACCTCCTGGATAAGCCACAGAAAAAAATGCCCTGATTACACGCATAAAAAATGTGCTGTTTAGGTCACGTCGTGCAGCGCAGCGCGTCAAATGACACCCAACAGACATATTTTGCTGTGTAAACCAGGCCTGTCTGACAATGAATACAAGAATCAACAGATCCTTAATTTTTTTCTGCTTTGCCATTCTAAAATTTAGTAAAAGAGTGCAAATATTGGAATGTGTACTATTATTAATTGTACTATTATATAATAATATTTCATTCTTATAAGATAAGAAATTTTAAAGGACAATTTTTTTAATAACCTTAGATCACTCACCTGCAGCCCACTGTTCTTCTTTTCTCCAACCAGATTCTTGATTGCATCAACAATCAACTCAGTCTTACAGATGTAGAGATTTACAAATGGTGCTACTCCATTCCAGAATGGAAATGGATCAGCATTCTTCTTTGCTCCTTTCTTGCATTCACTCTTCTTTACTACTTTCTTGTATTCTTCTGCGATGTAACACCCTCCTGCGATGATGGCTGCACATTTGGTCCCATGGCCCTTATTCTTTTTTTTGTCATCATCTGGGACAAAGACACAATCATTCTATCTGTTAATGTTGTTCTGAATGCCAATAAAAAAAGAGAGCATAATTTCTGTCTTAACATCTCTCTCTAAGCATGATACAGTAATCATCTTAAGTTTTCATTAAAAGATCAAAAGCTTTCGTCAGTGACTTAAAGACCAGAGGAGAAATGCAGGTTTATAAGCACAAACTATTAAAATTTGCATATCAATCAATAGTTTGTGCTTATAAACCTGCATTTCTCCTCTGGTCTTTCTCCTCTAACAAAAGCTAGTGGATGCTAACTGAAACATTTGACCGTTTCCAAAATCATATCCAGTTGCTTGAGTAACTCTGGGCTCAAAATTAACAGTGTCCTGATGGCCACTGACCGGTAAAATTTAGTCCGGGAAAACTACTAAAAAAAGACACTTCGGGACATTTTTGGGACAATAGAAAAATAATCAACATCAGAATGTCAGCCCTCATCAGGCACACATCCCGGCTTTTGGATTCGGAAAAGTCCCCTCAAATTTCCTGTCTACTCTACAATTATAGTGTGCCTGGGGGTGAACATATTATTAAGCAAAACAAAATTGACTTCAAGTTTTACAATACTTAAAAAAAAAACAGGTTGGGACAGTTCATCCTCTCTTCAGGACAGTTGAAATTTATTTTTTGGGACAGTGCTGGGACAATAGGAAGAAAAGTTGATTTCAAGGCCTGTAACTGCATTTTTACATTACATGTACCTTTGATTATTTTCTATATTAAGATAAAGACCATCAAACCTTCAGTTGGAAAGATGTGAGGTTAATTATATACACGTATACTTAGTATCACCGACAGGTGACCATGAGTACTTTTAGTCCAGAATCCATCGCAAGAGACTACTGATTATTTACAATCCTGCATATTCGGCAATTGAGAGTCTTCATGGGGGATCCTGGCATCGCTTAACTCACAGTAAATTCAGGAAGGCCAGTAAATTGCAGTACAGTTTTTCTTGTGTAAGGCTTGAGAAATACTTTACTGTCAGATAGTGACATGGGGTTAATGGAAAAAGGAGTCCAGTCCGATTGGCGGAAAAAGCAGTCCAGTCCGATTTTGGGGTGGAAAAAGCAGTCCGGTGGTTTCTACGAAAGACCATAGGTACAATTTTTTCTTGTGTGTGTACCTCTAGTTTCTATGGGTACTTCGAGTTTCTATGAGTACTTCGAGTTTCTATGAGTACTTAGAGTTTGTATGGGTACTTAGATTTTCTATGAGTAAGTTTGTATGGGAACTTACAGTTTGTAACTTACATATCATCATCATCATCATCATCATGCCTCCGGATTATTACATGTAAGTAATAATAATTAGTCAAAAGATGAAGCGGTCAACTGACGAAATTTCCAGGGCCGATCCTGCTTGCAAGTAGCCTGATTAAATCGCTTTACGGTTGCCAGCTGCCCAACATCCAGTCGGCCCCTGCTAAAGCCACGTATGGCAGACTTTGCATTACACCGACAAGCATGTAAGTACCGGAAATACATTATTGTAAGAAAGAATCCCTTAATAATTAACTTTTGTTTATTGTGGATAGGTGACCTGTATGCATAGAGACTACTTTTCGGTGGTCCCAAGAGGTGTAAATCGGTTGTCCGCTATTCCTCACCCAAGGCTGCCTGAATTACGGGTTAAGGCGGCATATAGTGAGTCACATATATGCTAATTCAAGTTCCCATACAAACTCTAAGTAGTCATAGTAACTCTAAGTACCCATAGAATCTCTAAGTACTCATAGAAACTCGAAGTCCCCATAGAAACTAGAAGTACACACCCAAGAAAAAATTGTACCTAAAAAATGTATGGTCTTTCGTAGAGTTTCGTAGAAACCACCGGACTGCTTTTTCCACCCCAAAATCGGACTGGACTGCTTTTTCCGCCGATCGGAATGGACTCCTTTTTCCATTAACACAGTGACATGTGGTGTCTGGAAAAACTTACTACTGAGTACTACGAGTACATGTACGTAGTAGTCTGTGGACACCATATATTCTTTTGTGATGTTAGGACAATCTGGTGTTCTTGATGAATTTAGTAATGTACTAAGTAACTAATTACTAGTATACGGATGTGACGGAAAAAAGAATGCAGACCCTCTGCTACAAACTGTATTTATCATAATATGTCGTTACACATTGTAGAAAAGTAATTATAAATTTACCAATATTATCATCATCAGTCCCAGGAGAAATGAAGTTTTTCCCCTGAATCTCAGCTTTAGGAATATGTGCGAACGCTTGGTGGTCCCTCTTGATGCCAGAATCCAAGACAGCTACCTTCACCGGGTATTTTTTTCTCCATGCAATCCAGGACTCTTTAAGGTTAAGTGAATCCGCTTCAGAGAGACGGCTCCAACAGTCTTGTATGTGGAGGAAGCCATACTCGTACTTACTCCCTTGCCACTCCATACTTTCATGTAGCCTAACTGTCCATGAAAGAACAGAAGACCATCATGCGGCAACTGGTCCTGTATGGATATCAGAGAGGCAGAAATTATATAAGATATGTAGGCCTGCATGCTGTTTAGCATAATGAGACATTTTCATTGCCTTCGTCAGAAGGGTACGTTTTCCGTTTGGGCCTGGTGGAGCAGCTGTGGTTTGGGTATGGTATGTAGCTATAGGTCAATGCAGGACTCCAGTACTTGTGGATGGATCTTAGATCTTATTGATAATGGTATGTTAAGGCCACACCAATTTAATTTGTTGTTTCTCGGATTTTTTCAGAAAAAATATGAAGCAACAGGGCAGAATAAAAATTAAAAAAAAAAAAAACTGGCCAAGGCACCATATGATAGCCGGAAATGTTACGATATGAGCCATGAAGTCAACATACCAGGCTGGTTTATAATTAAAACAATAGTTTGGAACTTTTAATTAAACAAAATTGCATTGTTACCAAAACCTTAAGAACTAGGAAGAAAAGGACTTACTTCAACTGTTAGGGCCAAAATATGTTTCCATTGAGCATTTCGCAGTTAATTTAAAACTGAAAAAATTTTTTGTTTTTTTTGCAAATCAGAAAAAAATGGACAGAGCGATCCGAGAAGCAACAAATTAAATTGGTGTGGCTGTGAAAATGAAGGTCAAGTTCAAAATGGTGTAGGTGGCTATTTCCAATAGTACTGTGCACAGCAAGCTATGCATTTGTTGACTGTACATCACGGTATGTGTACTGCAGCTGTGAATGGAATGTTAACAATATTTGGTAGGTGAGCAGCACTTATGGAAAAATGTTCAAGTTAGGAAATGATTATCCTGTGATGTTCCTATGTTGCTGCAATGGGTTGTGTTTTTTTTTTTGTTTCTGTACAACATAACTCGACAAGCAGTGGATGGTTGTTAATGATATATAGTGGATGGTAAGTGGCAGCCAAAATGAAAGTTAAGTTTGACAATGCATATCATTTTAACCTCCATAACCTGCACGAAAGAGTCTCGGCAGCTTTCGTAAGTACTGTGCCGCTCTATTTGTGCCCAGACTACTCTTGACCATGGATTTTTTTTTTGTATTTTAACTTACTCCATGTTTTGACTATGGGGTTTGCCCATAAATACATTTGTAACTTGTGTTATGTGACCTGTTCAAAGCATCATTTTCCACCATTTTCAATGTCACGTACCATGTCAGGGGAGGGTCAGGGAAAAATTTCTGGACCAACTGGACCTAAAGCCTGCCAGCTGCAGGCTAGCCAGCCTTTTCCGTAAACCCCTCTCACACACCACCCCTTCCCCCCAAAAAATTTCTGGACCAACTGGACCTAAAGCCTGCCAGGCTAGCTAGCCTTTTCCGTAAACCCCTCTCACACACCACCCCTCCCCCCAAAAAAATTTCTGGACCAACTGGACCTAAAGCCTGCTAGGCTAGCCAGCCTTTTCCGTAAACCCCTCTCACACACCACCCCTCCCGTGTACACTATATGACATCCAGTAAATTTCTAGCGGGGACCAATCATAGGGCTGCTGACGCGTCACCGACTAGCGGCTATTAGCACCTTGTTTCATGTAAATGCCATGAACTCAACCAGAGCGCGTATATTGTTTCTTGTTTACATCAGTACTAAGTACTAGTACTTCCACAATCAGTTAGTAAAGTCATACCTTAGTAAAATCTACTTTGATGAACGAATCAAAACGGGACTGTTACATTTAAGTTTTACACATTCAAATGTGGCTGCACTAGCGCTAATGGAGCGACCACTACGTACGGGAAGGAACGGATCTTAGCGAAGCCGAGATTTGTGAACCAAACCCAACCCATCGAAGACGGGCCGCCAAACATAAAAATGGAGGAAAATGACAGACAACAAGCCAACAAAGACAACATCACCAGACCAACAAACTTGGAAAACACCACTTCAAGCGCTAACGTTGTAAGAACTGTGGAACCTCAAACTAGTATGTTTGCGTCAGCGGAAAGGCTGTCGAAGTAGCCACTACATGAAAAACTGCGGCGAAAAAGTAACATGGGTTCGTCCCAAATCTAGACGCAAGTGAGCTACAAAAGTAATAGAACCTATGCATCTTGCTTGTTGCTGTCAACTTACCCGTTAAAGATTGAACCGATACATGTACGTACTATAACTTGCCATACCCGGGCAAAGACGACTACATTACTGTTACTCTTTATTTTGTGCTGTATAATGTTTATCCGTTACATTATCTATCATTGTCATTTCTGTGAATTCCTTAAAACATCTACTGATAGTTTGTGTAACATTACGTAGTGCTACAATCTGCGTAAAAAGTGGGCTTCATTACGTGTTATCTGCTAAGTCGTGTTGGTATTGAAAACTGTTTTATTTTGCCGTTCTTCTACAAACAACCAGCAGAATTATGAAGATACTCGTTCTCAATACACATGCTGCAAACTAAAGTAATGGCAGTCCTACGAAAATTCTGTTTGTAATGTATAAGCGCTTTATGTCGACGTACAATGGGTGTGAAATACATGTTTTCGCCCATCGTGTGCCACCGGCTCGGTGGTAATTGGCTACTTTACAAGTGAAAGAACCGCGTCCGTGGGCCTTGATAAATTATTCAAATTATTCAGCAGCCCTCTGATTGGTCTGAGACCGCTAGAAACTTACTGGATGTCATTCAGTGACGAGCCCCCCCCCCCCGATGGTAAAATGGTTCATTGAGGAATAAAGCCACTAATAGTTATAATAAGTGTTAAGCTATAAATATCTGTTCATGATTACCTTCGCCAAGAATTGAGGAAGGTTATGTTTTCCTGGCTGTGTGTCTGTCTGTCTGTCTGTCTGTCTGTCGACAGCATAACTTGAGAAAGCTTGGATGGATTATCTTGATATTTGGTAGGTGGGTAGGTCTTGATGAGACCTGGAAATGATGAGATTTTAGACCACCTAGCGGCTTGTTATGGTACTGCAGCTGAAATTCCGGTTTTGATATCTCATGATCTACACATGCTGGGGTGACGAAATGTGGATGGTAGGTAGCTCTTTTTCTGGGGAAGAAGTGGTGTGAGTTTATTCCCCCTAGCCGCTTGCTCTGGAACTGCAGGGCTATCTGTTTGAAAATATTCAAAAGAGGATAACTCAAGAACCGGTGGAAGCATCATCGTGATTTCTGGTATGTAGGTAGCTTACGTGATGCTTGGTATAATTATGCGGCAATTATGCAAATCTGGACGTAATTTGCATAATTAATGGAGAAATTCTATAAATCAGCTGCATTACATTATAGGACTATTCAGGCTTGTGACACGTAATTGAGAACGAGAGAAACACAGGCAGGTATTGACTATGTAAATCAACACTTAATTTGCATAATTAATGAGAAAATGTAATAATTCCATAATGCTAACTGCCTGGAATTTCATACTTGGGGTTGCTGGTGTCTTTTCCAAGTGACCAGTGTTACTACAGTAACGTACGGACCTCCCAAGAAGCCCATTTCCGAACTTGATCTTGCTATCGTCAACGGTAACTTGCTCGCAAAAAATCGTGAACACCCATTTAAAGATTCTCGAGTTATCTTGTACACAAGAAAAAACACAAAAAACAAAGGTCAACTGCAGTGACATAGAAACCCCCACGGGGCCCCTTTTTTTAACTTGACCTCGGCATTCTCAACGGTAACTTGCCCACTAAAAATCATGAACATCCATTTAAGGATACTCGAGATATCCTGTACACAAGGAAAAAACACCAAAAACCAAGGTCAACTACAGTGATGTAGGAACCCCCCACGAAGCCCATTTTTAGCCTTGACAATGGCCACCCCCAAGACAACCTGCCTGCCAAAAATCGTGAACCACGGACCATGCCTTCAAACTTTACCGTGCATAATCTACAAAACAGGCCAAAAGCGAGTTCATAGCCTTCTCGTCGAAGGCAATAAGCAGCTTTGTACCACCACAAACAAAAAAATTCTGTGCTATTAAACTGGGCTCAAAAAGGGGCATGACTGCACCTCAGTGCACCCAAATTTGGACCTGTGCAGTCCTGGAGGAAACACATCAAGCTCCTGTAAAAGTCCAGTGTGCGGCCTGATCACTACAATCTAGAAGAAGAACTTGCAACATGCAGCAGATTCTTAAGTCAATTTTTTTATATCCAAGTGTCAGAAAAATAAAAATAAAAAATCAATGTCATAGTACTTTTCTTTAGAAAAGAAAAATTAGTTTTTGACAGTTTACTAATTATACTATTTTATATGGTGCACCAAAAAAAATTTTGTGCACCAGTGCACCTATTCCCAACAAGAATTCTGAGACCTCATACCTCCATGAAATATGTAGAGTTTATGTAAATGTTTTGTTTCATTGAATATGGAAATAAGGTGGCAATTGATATAAAGTAGTTTAATTTATGGTGTTATAAACTCAACTTACAATTACAACACAATAATTTTGCGTGTCAAACTCCTATCCATTGGCAATATTTAATTTAAACATCCTCATTTAAACTTCCTCATTAATTATGCAAATTGCATCTATATTAACATAATATATGCATAGTGTTGTTAACATTTAAGTAGCCTACACATGTCACAAGGTACAGAATTGCCATCATTCACCATTAAGAAATCATATAATTTTCGCAATAATTATGCAAATTAGGTAATCATTTGCATAATTGGTATCTGTGGACGTTCTATCTGCCATAGATTACATATATTACATGTATGAATCAGAAAGTACTTTAATGTAAAACACTGTAATTATAGAATTTCCTCATTTATTATGCAAATTAGGTCCTCATTTGCATAATTTGCATTTAATCGTGTACATCTCTCTCTCAGCTAACTACCCACCAAAAATGATGAAAATATGTTGTTCCTATCTGGACTTATTGGCTTTGAAAGATTTCGCCCGAAAGTTCCCTGCAGTTCCAGAACAAGCTGGTAGGGGGACCAAACCCACACCACTTATTCCTGACAGGAAAAGCTATCTGTCACCAAAAAGTCAAGACCACAGCATGTTCAAGACAAAAGATT